CGTCGTCGTCGTCGTCCGTCGTCCGTCGTCGTCGTCGTCGTCGTCGTCGTCGTCGTCGTCGTCGTCGTCGTCGTCGTCGTCCGTCGTCCGCCGTCGTCGTCGTCGTCGTCGTCGTCCGTCGTCGTCGTCGTCGTCGTCGTCGTCGTCGTCGTCCGTCGTCCGTCGTGGTCGTCGTCGTCGTCGTCGTCGTCGTCGTCGTCGTCGTCGTTGTGGTCGTCCGTCGTCCCGTGCGCCCCGCAGAGGAGTTACTCCGTCGGCTACGGGGGCGGCGACCCGCGCGCGCCGCTGCCCTGCGTGGCCCGGGCCGACGTCCGGGGGCGGCCCGGCCTGGGCCAGGGCTCCCTCCCCCCCGCCGCCCTCCGCCCCCCTCCCTCCACCTCCCCCTCCCTCCCCTCCCTGCTACCTCCCTCCTCGCTCACTCCCTCCTGCCTGCTCCCTCCCTCACTCCCTCCCTTCTCTCTCCCGCTCTCCCTGCTCCCTGCCTCCCTCTCGTCTAACCTCTCCCCCCCCTCCCTGCCTCCCTTCCTCCCCCCTCCTCCTCCCGCTCTCCTCCCTCCTGTCCTCCCTGCCTCCCTGCCTCCCTGCCTCCCTGCCTTCCGCCCTGAGTCTGATGTGTGTGTGTGTGTGTGTGTTTGTGTGTGTGTGTGTGCGCTCGCGCGCTGCGCGGCGTCTCCACGGCGCCCAGTCCAGTCCTTCCCCCCTGCCTCCTCCCTCCCTCCACAGATGCGGAAGATGAATACTACTCTCCGGAAGATGTTCGGCCCCCTTCCGCGCATTGTTTTTCACAGGGTTCCTGGGAGTTCGGTTTTCGCTTGGGTTCTTTTCGTCGAAATGTTGCTCCCGCTGAAGCGCCGGCCTCATTTTCGGGCTTCCGCTCGTTCCGAATCGTGCTCCCGCTGCAGCGCTGGCCTCATTTCCTCGCTTCCGCTCGTTCCGAATCGTGCTCCCGCTGCAGCATTGGCCTCGTTCCCGTGCTTCCGCTCGTTCCGAATCGTGCTCCCGCTGCAGCGCTGGCGTCATTATTTCCAGTGCCATGCCACGGCATGCAATTCAAGTAGTGTTCCGCTGTGCGATGCCATGCCTTCAGCTGCAATGCAAGGATACGCAGTGCTTGACTACGCAGTGCCACGCCATGCTATGCCATGCTACGCTTTGATATTCAACGCCATGCTATGCCGTGTACTGTTCTGTGCCGCTGTGCGATGTCATTCTTTGCGTCGCAAAGTTTCGTGATGTGATTCTTCACTACGCAATGCCACGTCATGCTATGACATACTGTGATCTGCCGTGCTCTTCTACGCCCTGCTATGCCGTGCTCTACGATGCATCGCGCACCTTCGCGGGATCATTACCTTGCTCGACATCCGATTGTGCGACTAGAGATGAGATCTACGCCATGGTAAGGGATTGGAGGAAGGGGTAGGACGTCATATATGACGCCAGCGCACCTACGTAGCTTGTCCTCCCTCCTCCCTCTCCCTCCCTCCTTACACATCCCCTCTCTCTCTCTCTCCTCCTCCTCCTCCTCCTCCTTCTCCTCCTCCTCCTCGTCCTCCTCCTTCTCCCCCCTTCTCCCTCCAACCTTACATGTCTTTGTGTTTCCTCGTTCCCTGGATCTATGTTCTCGAGGCCGAGATGAGCCCGCATGTCGGGCGTCTTGGACTGGGGCTGACTGGTTGAGGCCAGCGGGGACTGCTTGGGGGAGCTGCCTGTGCGCAGCCCGCAGCCTACTAGTTCGGAACCTCGGCTCTCCTCTCCCTCCTCTTTCTCCTCTTCATCCTCCAGCCCCCTTTGCCCGAGCATTTTGCCAGGATGGGGGGGGGCTGTCAACACCGCCGCGCCGCACAGCCCGTTGCCTTTGCGACGGCCTCGGCGCCCGTCAGTCGCCGCAGATGGCGCCAACTGCGGGCACCGCGCTCAGAGCAATTGGATACAATCCCATGTGGGCGAACGGATTGAGAATGCAGGAGATTTTGCATCACACGACGAACTACGACGCGGTGCTGCTCTGTGGTACACAGACGGTGTGCCGCAAGGCCGAGGGCGTCCTGCGGAGTCGAGTGGCAGGCCGCACGATATTGGAAACTGTTCACCAGCCTGGTCCACTTACGACTGCGGCGACGGGCTGTGCGGTGATTCTTAGAGCTGGCTACAATGATCGACACATACGACAGACGTGGTTCCCCCTCGGCAGCTGGCGGGCAGGGGCTTGGCAGTGCGCATCCAGAAGGGCGCGATCGACATTACTTACGGTGTATTGTATTACCCGCCCCAGCCACGCTCGCACCAGGAGAATGGAGTTTATCACGAGACGGTGAAGTCACTCACACGCTGGTGGCGATCGGTATTGATGGCTCTTCCGTGTCGCACCCTGCCGCTGTTCTACTCGGATGTTAACGACGGCATCGGAGCGCAGGTGAAGGCTGGAGTCTGGACTGAGCCTCCTTGTGGGGCGCTCGGACCCACTCGCTCTCGTGAACGACGACGTAACGGAGCTGGGGAATCTGTGCGACACCTATTGGTTGAGCAGAAGTTGATTTCGGCGACCTCTTGCAGCCCCTTTGCGCACACGTACTGGTCTTCTGGCAACCCGTCTACGGGCAGTATGATTGACTATTGGTTTCTCCCTCGGGGGTGGCTTGAGCGCTTTCGACGCAGCCACATCGTGCGCGACTTGGGCGACACGCTCCAGCCGATCAGAGGCATCCCTCCTCGGGATCAGATTCCCGTCCTGCTCGAACTCAGCTACGAGAAGGACGCTGGGGCATTGCCACCCGCGCCGCCGCCGCGGCATTGCGGAGATGCGATGATGGCGGCCATCCTGAGGGGCGAGAAGAAGCCAGAGTTTTTACGAGAAGTTACACGACAGCTGAGCGACAAGGAAGAGCATCTGCGATCTCTGGCCGACCAGAATTCGCCTGGCGCCCTTTGGGAGGCGCTGGAGACCATCATGACGACGGCGGGCGCCAACCATTTCATGCAGCCACCCCGCGCACCTCGACCTGAAGATTGTGCGGAGCGCCGACGGCTACTGGAAGCACGCGCTGCACTTCGACGATCACGAGCAGAGGTCGGCGGCAGTTCTTCGCCTTCTACCTGTGCGACTACGGGGCCTGCTGCTGCCTCGCTAGAACGGGGGCCTAACATCCGATGCAGGCCAAATGCCATCGGTGACCTGAACGCACCCCCCACTGGCGATCAGAACGCAGGGCCTCGTGAGGCCAGGACGGCGAAGGGAGAGGGGTCTCTGATGTCCCTCGGCGAGCCGTGCTCGCCTCGCCTGCCCGCGTCTTGGGCTGCCTCTGGTGTGGCCTCGGGTCCACAATACTCTGTGCCAGGACACATTCAGGAGAGTGACCGACTGAGCCAGATAGAGCAGCAACTGAAAGATCTTTCTCGCCAGCTTCAGCGACAACGTAAGCGATCAGTGTTGCTGTCCAAAGAGCTTCTTTTGGAACAAGTACGTGAAGCATGGCGGGGTCGACGTATGCATGAAGCTGCCCGACTCTCTCGCCAAGCTGCTCGATGTAGGTTCGGCGCTCGACACAGAGATGGACGGAGACTGGGCATCGCAACACTTAGTAAGACGGCCTGGCTAGACGTCTGGAAGCTGGAAGGCGGCTCTGGTGGCATGCTGGCCACGGAAGTTGACTGGAGTGAGTGGCGACAACAACGTGATTCGTGCCCGGCTCCACAGGTGCAGGCTTGAGAGGTCAGCGAGCGAACCTATCGAGCGGCAGAAGATTACGCTGGCCTCATTCCTTACTTCCGTAAGACTACTAAGCGACGAGCGGTACCTGTGGGAACTGCACCTGCTGAGCCGTGGGATTTGTGCTTCTCGGCGGACAAGGCTACCAGAGGGGAGCGCCTCGGGATTGGCTGCGAGACGGGGGAGGTTAACATGGGCGCCTTCAAGGAGATGGTCCTGCTTGGGCTCGCCACGATACGACGTACTGATCTTGCCCCACTGTGCTGGTCCCGCAGCTTGGGTCGCGGACTTTCGAAGGGCAACGCGAAGCCTGGAGCTATGGGTGAGCGAATTATCCACGCGCTTCCTGTTGTTAGCAAGGTTTTTTTTTTTGCCAAACGTCTCAATGTTCGGGCGCCACCGCAGGCCTACGGCGTCGCCAAGCATAAGCGACGCGAAGGAGCAATATTGGTTACTCAGTGCCTTTCTTGGGGATTGCGACAGTCGCAGGTGAGCTTCGCCAATGCGATGGAAGATTTACCCAATGCATTTGGCAGCGTATCCTGGGCAACTTTCGACTCGACGGTGGAGGACTGTGCTGAGCCAGAAGACTGGGACCTCTGCAAGCGACACTATCGAGATGGAGTTATCGAAATGCAGGGGGACGAGGGGGCCTTCTACATGAAGCCGCACGTCGGCGGCTTGATGGGGGACCCGTTCATTGTCAGTGCATTCCTTGGCTCTTTTACGAGGCCCACGGAGTACTGGTCGGCGGCGATGAAGTCTAAATCGGGAACGCATCTTCTTAGTGGAGCTCTACCAGACGATGGTGAAGTTGACCTCTCACATTGCTCGTGCGCCGACGATCTTCACCGAACCTTACTTTTCAAGGTCGGCAGCGCCATGCATGAGGTCAGTGCGGAGCTCAAGAAAGCTGATGACGTTCTGGACGCAGCTTTGGCGTTGGACGGCATGAAGCAGAACAGGGACAAGCAGGTCACCAGTTTCTTCTTCTCTGGGGCCGAGGCCTCGGCTTGCAAACAGTGGATGGGTAAACCAGGCCGTGTGGCGGGCACGGTTGTGGATGTTTCGCGTTATCTTGGACCAGTGGTATCCCCTTCTCAGACCACATCTCACGAGCTGGAGCGCCGCTTCTCTGCCACGAACTCAGCTTTCTACGGACTTGGAGGCGTCTGGTCGCTGCGAATACCGCGGAGATGGAAGCGTACTCTTTTTCTCTCATTGGTCCAGAACACGATGCTGTCAGCCATGGAGTGCGTCTGCCTGAGCGACCACCAATACTCTTGTATGGACGCTCACATCGCCAAGTTCGGACGGATCGCTATGGACGGCTCGGCGACGTGGCAGGGGCCCCAACATAAGCAGAGGCTTTCGAATTCACAAGTTCTTGCCTTTTGGCGTGTGGCTCCTTGTTCAGTGGAGCTGCGCACTCGTCGACTGGCCTGGTACCAGGCGTAGGGCACTTCGTCCGCAGGTAAACAAGCAGATCTGGACCGTTCTCTTCTCGCTCCTCGACTTCGAATCGGAAGATAGGGGCCCCTGCACGGTCGATTTAGGCCTCTCCCAGTACGCGTCCCCCTGGCTCTATCAGATGCGATCGGACCTCCAGACTGCTGCTGCTGCTATTCATGCTCACGAAGAACTGCTGCTTGCCCTGGCTCATTCTCCCTGGAAGCTACTCGACGATGAGGATATGGTTCGCGAATTCGTCAACCTCGACTTTTCTGAGTATCGTGCATCAGTTTCCTCGTGCCAGATCGCTCCGCCAGGACTAGAGGAGGAGGCCGAGGAGGTGGAGGACGAGGAGGACGGGCCCGTCGAGAAGCCCTTCGTCTGCACGCACATACACGAGGGAGTCGAATGCGGGGCCAGGTTCGAGACGAGGAGAGCACTCACAGAACACCTACGGCATAGGCATCGAGTACTTAATACTGCACACGTACTTACTCCGTCGAACGCGTGCATAGTGTGCAACAGAACGTGCGCCACTCAGGTCACAGCTAGCAGGCACTTGCAGAGCGCTCTCCTAAGGGGCTGTTGTGATCCTCGCGGGGCCTCGTCTAACACACCCTTCATCGAGCCAGACAGTCACAGGTGCCCGATTTGCGAGTTCGATGGGGCCTGCTACGAGATGCTTCGCCTACATTTACAGTCGCACCTGCCATTGAGGGTCAAGCCTTTCAGACCTCGAGTTGTTAAGCCCCGTGCTCAACTTCCACCTTGTGATGTCGCTGCCGCCCATGCCTTCTTGGATGTCGCAGACGGCGCGCGCAGGTGCCCCAGGGTCGGCGGAGCCCAAGCGCAAGGCAGCCAAGAAGGACACGACGGCGCATATGGAGCAGATGTCCCAGGGCATGGCGAGGCTAGTGGTCGGACTGGAGAGGCGCACGTCGATGCTGGAGGCGAACGTTTATCGGAACTATTTCGTGGACGAAGGAGCGGACTCTCTGGGCCGGGCCTGCGCAGAGGGCAACAAGAACTACGACGCCACGAGCAAAGAGCTCAAGGCAAAGCAGGACAGCGGCGAGGTGATCGACTGGAAGGCAAGAGGCGCGCCACACGTCGCGCTGTTCGTACTCATAATCAGGCGGGCTATCGCAAAGTGCGCACAAGGAGGAAGCCATCCCAACGAGCAGGGCCACAAAGCTTTCTCGGAGTTCTGGGCGTCGGTCGTGGACAAGCAGACGCCGCGGCAGCTCGGCCTCCTGGTGCTCAATTGCAGGTACAAGAAGGCACGTGCAGTCAAGGATGGAGTGGGAGCTCAGATGGACCGCAAGGGAGTACTGACGCTCAACTTGAATGTGCAGGACTGTCAGGCGGCGAGGGTGTTGTGGCCGATCATGCAGGAATACCTTCGCGACGTCGAGCGGACGGAGCAGATTCCAGGCCCAGCGCCGCGCGGCCCGACGGAGAGGTGGCTCGGAGCTCAGATCAAGTGACTTTCGAGGAGAAGGTTCGGCGCTTACTCACTGTGGCTGGCAACAATAGTGTCTTGCCGTGGTCGGACCAAGATGTTTTTGAGTTGGTATTGGACACGGATGAGCCTCCTGAGCCACCGCAGTCTTTTTCGACATCGGCGGCCAGCTCTGGTTTGGGTATGTCGAGGAGTGGACCTTCAGTCGCAACACCTGAGCCTGGGGCTGTCGCCCGCCGCCGCCTGTCTCAGTCTGCGCAGCGTAATCTAGCAGGTTCTGCTCGGTTGCAAAACTTAATTCAGCGAGGCGAGGTTTCGAGGGAGGTGCTTCAGCAAGAGGTTGAGGTTACCACCTACAGCAACCCCGCCCTCCCCCTCGTTCCCGTAATGGTTCACCCCCGAGCTGAGCCGACTAGAGGGAAGGGGCGGGGTCGTAGTCGTCGTACGGGTCGGGGGGAGGGGGGGGAAGGAAAGGCCACAAGTGATAATTCGCACCCTGGACAACCTAGCACTTCCCTCTCGTCCGATCCTCCTCCTCCTCCTCTCTCCGAGCAAGGGGCCGAGAGGGCTCCCGCTCGTCCCATCAGGTTTGTCCGTGAGGGTGCGGTTGTTTGAGGTTGGTCCCCGAAGCTGGGCATCCCCCTCCCAGGCTGCGCGCCGACCTGAGGGGGACCGCTCAGTACGGGGCCGCGCGGGCGGCGCTCGACAGGCCTCCTGCGTTCTCGAGCGAGGTCAAGCTGCTGAAGCAGCGCGCAGAGCTCAGCGATTTTGCGATTTATTATCGATTCAGAGCTCCATTGCGATGTCTTGTCTTGTTTGTCTCTTCATCCTCCCCCTCCTCCTCCTCCTCCCCTTCCTCTTTCTCCTCCTGCTCCTCCTGCTCCTCCTTCTTTTCCCCTACAGATCCGACGCTGCGAAAACTTTGCAACCCCGCGGCAAAACACGATTGGAGCCCTGGACCTCATCTTTCTGTGGCACTCCGTGCTGGATCGATCAGCGAGGGCCCAGGGGCCCGAAACGAGGCAAAATTGCTCGCGATGGAACAATTGCTTCGCCAGGGTCTCAGGGTGTCATAACCCACGCCAGTTGGCTCTCCATTCCCAGTGGTGGGGCGTCCTGGAACATGGAAAACATACAGGTGGAATACGTACCCCCCCATCCCGAAATTTGGGACTTGGGGCTGGGTTGGGGTGGTTTGGGACGATCTCAGGGTCCTCCTTCCATTCCATTCCGTTCTATCCGCGGTGCCCGAAGTCCCGACCCTTTCCCCTGGGCCGGTTTTTCATCGGCAACCTTTTTTTTCTTGACGATCCTGGGGCCCGGCGCGGGCCCCCAGAGGCCGACATTGGCCAAACCCCTCCCGCCTTGATTTTTTAAACGACGCGAGATGGGGGAGGAGGAGGAGTATGAGGAGGAGGAGGAGGAGGAGGAGGGGGAGGAGGAGGAGGAGGACGCGGACGAGGGACGAGGAGGAGGAGGAGGAGGAGGAGGAGGAGGAGGAGGCGGAGAAGAAGGAGGAGG